TGCAAAGCGAGCTGTGGCACAATGTCTTCAGGCGATCGCTGACGCGTGTTCTGCATGCCGTTTTTCCTTAAGGATTACCCTCTTGCTTGTACCAATAGGAAATTGGATGACGACTTCTTTATCGATGAAATGCTCAAAACGCATAGAACTGAAGATGAACTGAATGCTCGAATGCGAGTCGATTGTCAAATTTCATGTTGCTATTTAATATATTTACTCCATCGATCAATTATTTTTGTTTGTTCAAAGACATTCTGATGTTTTGGAATTTTTAGTCGTACTTCTTTCAGCCTTTAGTCATGTTATTCTTTGTTGCGGTTTTGAAATTGGTCTCTTTTCGTCATGTATTTCGATTGCGTGAAGCAAATGAATGGGTTTAGTTGCATACCGTAAGGTACCGTAAGCGGTAAACCCAGTCAATGCTTACAAATTGCTCAGGCTCAGTAAGCTTAACGGAAAACTTCAACTTAGTTGTAGTTCGGTACAATTTTTGATAATACTTATGAATTGCACACAATCACGACCATAAACTTGTATTATCGATGAGGGGTGAGCGTTATCTGTGCTGATGCAGCCTTATCATTACAAGTCTTATCAGTACTTCTAATTATTTCTTGTTTTTCATTGATAAAGCGCTCATACATATACAATATCATATTGTTGATTAATACACTTGCGTATGCATGCTTGAATTCNTTTTGTTTGGTGGTCTTCCATGCAAAACGTCGTGCTATTATTTCTTTTTGCTGTATTCCAGTAGTAGAGTCTCGATCAGCTAACTTCAAGTGCTTTCAAAGCGCAATTTTAGTGCCTTATGCAAATACAGGCAGTTACAGACAGTTTTCAGTCTTTTCATCTATGCATTACCTGACAGAAAATGCAAATTCATTTCGCAAGACGTTTCGTAAAAATTCTGCTGAAAAACTCTCTTAATTAATTCTATATTTGCAATTCATTTTGGATCCTTTCAAAATCTGAACTCGTCACCTTTTTGCGCTCTCGAATGAAAAGTAATATTGTTTGTAATGAGTGAAGTGAGTCAAAATCAAATACGTTCAATTTGGATCGCATAAATTCGTTTGCTTACTTATCTAGCAATCTGTACACGATTGACGTGCACGGTTTGTTTATTTATTTGCTCAGAGCACAGTCGACAGTTTATTGAATATTGATATGAACACTTTCATAAGTGGCGAAAATAAACTATCGTATCATCTCTTTGACATTGCGTTGATGGTTTCCAATTCTCGAGCTAATCTATGCGCCGTAAATTCCACCTCAAACTCATTCGAGAATTCATTCGAAAATTCAGAATCAAGCATGCTTAACTCTCTTCCCTCTTAGCAGTTTACAGCTGATGTTTTCACTCGTTTCCATGTAAAGTGTCCGCTTTTATCGTTCTTATTTCTGTGTGCTCGTCTTGGTGATTGATTTGGTTTTGTCCTAATTTAAGGCAAGTGAGCAGCGTCACACCGAGGTAATCGTGAACTGGCGAATCAATTCGAGGTGATGTCTGATGAACGATCTGCGGACGAGATTGACAATCCTTTGAAGAGATCGTCATCGCCCCAAACCACACATGACAATCCTTTGAATAGATCGTCATCGCCCCAAACNNATTTATAAAATTTTTGAGTGAAATTTCGATAATTTCAGCATCGAACCGAGGAAATAAATGTGGATTTGTCAAAGGATAACAGTCTGATAGTGGACATTTCGGATGCACTATCAGAACGAGATAAAGTAAGTAGTGTTCTTATTGCTGTTGTTATTATTGCTGTTCATTGAGTTAGTTTACTTTGAAACATGTTGAGAATTTTGTATTTAGCGTGATGCTTGCTGAGATGAAGTAATTTCTGAAGTAATTTCTATTTCAGAACAAAGAATTTCAGGTGAAATACACGGTTCACACGAAAACGACTCTGCCGACATTCGCTAAAAATGAGATGAGTGTTGTGAGAGAGCACGAGGAGTTCATTTGGTTGCATTCGTGTTTGGAGGAGAACGAAGATTATGCTGGCTTTATCGTGAGTTTTTTCATTTCATTATTTTTTGGTTGCTTTTTTCAGCAGTTCAGTCATGTAATTTTTCGGATCTTCAACTAATGATGGATGGATTGCTTCATTAACTTGAATTAGCAGTGATGGAACTTGCTATGAAATCTATTGAAAAAATATTTTACAAAATTGTCTCGAAATTAAAGAACATACTGTGAATTTGTCCTTCTCATTTCAAGCCATGAAATACACTGCAGTCTGCAATTTGCAAGAGTGTATAAAAATGATTTCAGATACCACCCGCACCGCCGAGACCGGATTTTGATGCGTCTCGAGAGAAACTTCAGAAGCTGGGTGAAGGCGAATCGACAATGACCAAAGATGAATTCCAGAAGATGAAGCAGGAATTAGAACAGTGAGTTTTGTTGGCACGAATATTCCTTGAATAGTGATGTATTCATTCAGCTTTTAGAGTGGACATTTGCTGGCTGTTACAAATGAAAAATATTCGACTTGAGGAAAATTTTTCGAAGATTCAAAATCTGTTAATGATTAACTGTTATTGTTATGGAAGATGGCGAATGTGAACATGTGAGACTAAAACATGATTTGTGGAAGAAATAGTAGAATTATTTGATGTGAACGGTTGTTATAGAGAGTATCTGGCGACGTTCAAGAAAACAGTGGCAATGCACGAAGTGNATTTGGATAGTTATTCTGGTCTTTGACAGAAATTTTGATTTGGTTGATCTGGTTCAATGAGAATGATTTGAGATATTTTTAGTTGTCGGTTAGAGGTAAGAACAAAAAAGAGTATGTTGGCTCGATATGGAAACGTTTCACGCAGTCCGCAGATGAAGTGCTTCTGTCCGGACAGGTTGTAAGCTTTTGGCACTGCGGTGTCATTGGTTCAGTGTTTTGTTTTGATATAGAGCAGTGATTGAGTATTGGTTTTATTTTGATATGTGGTATGGTGTTGATGATGTGTGGTTTCATATCAAACTTTTTGATATTTTTGGAAGTCAAACCTTGAAATTTGTTTCATTTCAAATAAACTGTTCAAAAGATTCGAGCGAAATTTTGGGCCTATCTTTTATTGGAATTCAGTTGAGGTTGTTCTGTTGAGAGTATGCAATATTTGAGTTTTAATTTTTGATTAGTTTTGAGAATTGTGCTATTTATTTTTTGTTTTATAGAAAGATTTGGACGATTTCTTCGAGCATGAGCGCAATTATTTAGTGGAATATCACGCGCACATAAAAGACGCCACTGCGAAATCGGATAAAGTTACAAAACTACACAAAAGTTGGTTGTTGTTTTTATAATAGTAGTTTATTAATGTTGTTACCCTTCCTGGAATAGAAATAGTTGTACAGATCAGATCAACACCACTGCTATTATTGGTGTGACTTAAGAGGAAATTAGGCTGCTCTATGCATGTAACCCCAGAGCAGATGACAGATTTGCATGATGATCTTCTTGTGTATTTTTTAATTAATTTATTCAGTTTGAATTGTACGAAAGCTTGAANTTACTGCTGAATCATTATTCTGTCGCATTTTGAAGTGATTTTGTTGGCAGTATTTGGGTTATTAGAATGTGATCGTGTAGTGTGCATATGCATTATTTCATATTTATGGGTAGATGTGCATTAATTCATTCAGTAGGAATAGATCTGGATTGTGTAGCGCGGAATATTTTTGCAATTGTGTTGTATTTTGTTTGAGTTTTATTTGAATGGCTGATTTGATTGATTAGCTGAGAAGCGATTGGTGTGCACACATAAATTGATCGCAAGCGAACGATTAGTTGTTTTTCTGTTGTGTCACTTGGAAATTAACACATCAATCAATTTTTGTTTCGATTTTACATTGGTCTACTGATGTTTGTTCGTTATCTGTCTCCTTATCAACGGCATTCTTTCGCGATGCTCAAGTTGCTTTCTCTGTGTTTAGTTGCATTTCGTTTTGAAGCGTTCCTCATTCATAGCATCCGATGAGTAGTTAGTTTACTACGTTATCGTTAACACTGATATATTTCTTAAAACTGATAGTGAGAGTGAGAGGAGTGTGGAGATGGCGTATTTGAAAGAGACGTTTAAAAAGGCCAAGATGAAATGTGAGAATAGTAGTAAGGCGATCAGTAGGTTAGGTTGTTGAGTTGTTAGCATTAATTGATTGTCTTCAGACGATTAATGCCGGTTGTATTAGTGTGAGAATAGATTATATTTCTGAGGTGTATTCTATATTTATTCTACAGTTAAATTCTGTATTTGAAAGTTTATTGTGTAGCGTTCTACAGATTTGAAATATTTTGCGTGTAAGATGCTAGAGTTGGGTGGGGGCCTTCGAAATTCAGGAGCCTCCGAGATTGTTGGTTCCCGATCCCGATTGCAATCGAATGGACTGTTCGATCGGTGCCGAACTTCGGTCAGTGCCGATTGAAACCTATCGAAGCTCGAAACTTGCCGTCTATCGGTGGCCGCTGCAAAAAATCTTGCGGTTCTGAATACTAATGTAAGCACTGAATTGGATTGAAAGTGCAACTTCGCAAATGTATGTATGGATGAGCAGTGTTGTTCTCTAATTGGATTGGATTTATGGGGCATGGGCGTGGAGGAGTGGGCTGCGTAAACATATGAGCAGATTGGCTCTGCCATATCTGCAGCAATTGCTTTCATAGAAGAGTCAGTGTTTTGTTTTGACTTGTTATGGATTTGTTTGGTTAATTCACTTATTGTTCGCATAAGTTCACGTTTTAGTATGGGAATAGGTAGATGGAAATGAAATGGAGAGAAGAGAAGTGAATGTAAAATTCGATAGGAAAGTTAGGATGTTGGTTTGCGGTGGATTTTATGGTGCAAGTGATGCGTGCCGTTGGATGTTTATTGCCAGTGATGGCTGGCTGCTTGAATGGCTTTTCGTAATGGAGAACGAGAATTTTACGATTTAATCGAAGATTACATTTTGATTAGATGTTTTTGAGTGAATTTGAGATCGAAATGAAGTTGTATTGTTCATGTGTGTACGTTTTATTGCAGTTTTTGATCGTTGGTTTTTTGTTTTGTTGCAAATTTTGAATGGATTCTTAAACTGGGATTAATACTGAGTGCATTTACTAATTGTGAGTGGCATTGGTGAATGAAAGCACTCATGATTCATCGATAGGAGACTAGACAAGAGTGCAGTGGTATTTGTCTGCATAGTAGAGCACTGCCTGACTGAGTGACTGACTGGAAATCCACTCAGAACACAGAATCAGACTATCGTTGTTTTTGCTCGATATTAAGATATTCAATCTTTCGTCTATACAATCAACATTGGGTCATTGAGCCAGCTTCCTTTCAGTCATTTATATGNTTTGCCGTAATATATTCAATATTTCACAACTTTGACATTGTGCTTAAAGCAGTATATATGATGTGTTCTTAGTGCTGCTGTGACTTCAGTGTATTGTAAAACATGCACTGATTACGCAGCACGTGAATGTTTCGTGTACGAGAGACTGCAGCAAGCCAGTTTGTTGTTACTAGGGTGAGTGCTTTAGAGCTTTTTTGAAATCTTAGCCGTTCTCTTGGTTTTGAGACGGTGAAATGCGGGGAAGATGCGGATCGATGTGATGTGACGTGTATTTGTTGTATGTATGTGGATGATATGGTGCACGATGTTCATTTTGAATCATGAACGGAACGTTGAGAAGTGTTTTTGTTGTGAGACGAGACGTGCATGTATTAATGTAAGTAGTGCATGGCAATTATTCTGCATGAGAGAGGAAATTGATTCGTTTGATTTTGTTTGTTTCGTTGAGTTGAGTTTATTTGATTTCATTTCGCTTAATTGAATTCACAATTTGGAATTCGAATAATGCAGAATGCGTTAAGCAGGCGCAGTGGGAGTGGAGGGGATTTGCATTTAGTGATTTTTATTTTAGTAGTTTTGTTTTAGGCATCGTTACTTTAATCAGTTGTTCTATCGTAGTCTGGGTTTTCGTGTTTGTTCAGATCGTTTGAGCATCATGCAGCAGTTGTGACTGAAAGTGATTGATTTATTGGATGGTTTCATTAAGTTGCTGATTGATCTGAATGAGCTGATCAGTGTTGAATCATTGACGAGTGTTGATTGCTAGTGAATATATTCGAATGTGTGCATGACAGAAGATGGTGATGTATATGAATTTGAAGATGTGGCCGAATCGTACGCAGCAGTTGCGTCTTCGTTGGAGAAGTGGGCATTCCAAGAGACTGACCGTGATATGCAGAAACTGTTTGCGCGAGGATCGGATTTATTTGAGACGTTGAAAAAACTTGAGGTGGGATACGATTGTCTCTTTGTCCACGGAGAGAGAACTATGTAAATTGGAAGATTGAGTGTGAGGAACTTCAGCTCAGGAAAGGTTAATTTTGCGATTATTTAAGGCGCGGGTGAGCACAGATGAAGAGTTAAAGCTGAGCGATACGTTACGATATTATATGAAGGACACTCAAGCAGCCAAGGTGGGCAAAGCTTAAATGTCGTTTAATCGTTCACTTTCGCAGTTGCTTTCATCGCCTTTTGTGATTCATCCTTATGAATGTTTAAAGGATCTGTTGTATCGACGGATGCGATGCCTGGCCAATTATGAAGCGGCCAATAAAAATTTGGAACGTGCGCGAGGTCGGAACAGAGATGTGCCAAAGGTTTGCTCATCTTCTTTGAAATGCCCATCTCTGCTTTTGTTCTGAAGAAGACTAAGTGAATCGATGTTTTGAATGTTTCATCCAACTGAAACGATCAAACATATGAGTCAGTTTTCAAAAAATTCAGTTAAAGAATCGAATTTCAGGCAGAAGCAGATCAGAGTGAAGCGTGTAAGAAGTTCGAAGTTATCAGTGAGGTGGCAAAAGGTGAACTGCAAGATTTGAAGAAGAGACGACTAATCGCATTCAAAAAGAACCTGATTGATATGGCTGAGCTGGAGGTCAAACACGCTAAGGTATCGTTTTTTGTTGGAAGTTAGAATTTCTCTATACATTATTTCAATATTTCTATATTTTATATTTCAGTTTTTTATTTCAGTATTATATTTTTCAGTAATTTCATTTTTTTCAATATTTCCCTATTTCAATTAATATTCATTTCTTAGTTATACGAAAAAGCAGATTGTTATTGTGCTGAAAGCAATACGGATATGGATGGGTATCTGGTTTTGCTGTTAAAGTTTTATGTGGAGAAGATTTCGAAAAAAGTCAATACAGTAATAATATGATTTTGATCGTGGTTTAGGCACAAATCAATTTACTGCAACAAACACTGAAAACCTTACAAGGTGACCACGGCGCGTCGTTATCGTCACCGAAAGGAGCTCAGTGAAATGTAAATGGCGTTTGAAGAAATGAATGACCAATCAGTTGGATGAGAAAATTGGGTGCGTTTATTCAAATCGTTTGGATCGAATTGAACTGTTGAACATTTGCATACCTATGTTTGGTATTGGCTATGTGTACGACAACGATACTCTCAGTTAATCGGATTATAGCGACAGCGGCATTTACTATTGTTATTATAATCGTTATCGGTATTATATTATCGTTATAATGATATTATTAATATGATTATTGTGATTGCCATATTGATATTCCGACTGCTGTTTCTGTAGCATGGCCGTTGTCGGTTCGATGTTTTCGATTTGGTTTCCTGTGAAAAAGTTCTATTTCTTCATTGCAGTCTATTTTTCCATCTTTTCATTTTACAGAATTTTCATGTTCTTTTTTCATATTTTGTTTTTTCGTCCTTCTGCTTCATGTGATTTCTGGTTTCTTGGGTTCGATTTGGTGGATCCCTTTTAGAGTTTTACGGCAGAATTTTCCTCTTCTGCGCATTTTTATCGATGAACTCTCCGGAATTTCCGAAGTTTTACGGTATAAACAATGAGGACTACATCTTTTGAGCCAGCGTTTTTCATCCATTCCGTTTATGCTTTGATCCGTTCTGTTCCCTTAAAAATTTGCTTTCCTATTTGCTTCGTGCCTTTTTTCCGTATTTCATTCATTTGCCAAGCAAATTTCTGTTCTCAATCCAATCGCAATGAGTAATTTATTGAGTCGTCGTCAAATCATAGCAATGATGTATCTAATAACAAGTAATGTAGCGATGAATCGATCGATTGATTTGATTTGACTTATCGTCGTCGCATTAACTGGTCAGCTTTCTGTCTGTTTTTCATTGAACTTAAATGGTCAATTGTTCTAGCCAGTCAGATTGTTCGTATATTGAAGATTTTATTCGAGAATTTCGATGCGATGTGATTTTATTGACGCAATGGTTTTGTGATATTTTATTAATCCTTCGACAGAATTGTTGTATTGAGTACTTACATGAAGCATCAGTGTGATGGTAGTGATGTGCAGATTGTCTTATCACGACTAGAGGTGTACTTGAATGATTGGTTGTGATTGATTGGTGGTGATTTGATGAGCAAGAGTGATCAGAAACCGATGCAAAAAGAAGTAATTTCAGAGTGTATACTATAATTTATAGATTTGTTGAAAATTGTTACAATATGAATGGTCAATCTGTAGTGAATGAGCTTCGAAGACGCTCAATGATGTTAATGAATGGTCAGTCTGTAGTGAATGAGCTTCGAAGACGTTCACACACTCCACAACAGATGAGGTAGCGGTTTGAATTGTATCGAATTTTATTATAACTTAAATTGATTATTCATTCAGTTATATTACTTATTCAGTGTTTTGTTCATCGCAATCGATGTGATTATTATTATTGTTGTTGGAACTATTCTGTTATGGTATTGTTTCAGAGATTTTTCAACAATCTTAAGATATATTGATGTTGAGTTTGCTAGCGTCATTGCGCTTGCTCTATTTTGTTATCGTTATTACATGCTTGATTGTTATCAATATTCTTATCGCTGTGCTAGAATATCACTGTTGTTATCGTGGTTATTATTATTATTATTATTATTATTATTATTATTATTGCTATTTGCTTACATTCTTATCATTTATCGTAACATAACACTTATTTGGTTGTGTTCCTGCTATTCGAAGCGTGTTGTTGAGCGAATTTTGCAGATAGTGCCATCAAATGTAGTAGTAAAGCTTTTGTATAGATAATGATGAATATTATTGAATGTATGATCAGTTTAACGAGTACTCTTTCTTTCCGATATTATGCCTACTTATTAATGGAATTACACACAGAGCTCGTATGGATTGTGCAATAGGTGATGTGAATTTTGTTGTGTGAATGAAGTACGTTGATCGTGTGTGATGCGATGTCTCAAGGAATTTATAACGTGAGTAGTATTGCATTTGAGTAGCAGTTGATTTTGTTAATTTAGTCAGCGATCACATTCCATTCTCAAAGAGTTTGATCGAAGCAATAGAGTGTTACTTGAAACGGCTGGCGGGCGACTCCTTGAAAAGCACTTCATTGAAACGGTTGTCTCGTCTGTGATGCAGCGATTGACTGTTGGTTGTGATTGATTCGTTGTGTGTTTAGTAGGGAATTTTGGATTTGTTTTCTTTTTTCGTTTTGTTTTCTGATGGGAAATGAAGTTATAAGTAGATTTTATACGATGTGATGTGTTCATAATATGTGAGTGAGCAAATGAATTGTGTTATTAAATGTCTTCTATTTATTCATTCGTTGAAATTGTTTTAAACGTTTCTTATTTTAAATGTGCTGATGCGAGTTGTATTGTTGTTATTGGAGATATTTGGCAATTTCGTTTTGAAGATTTTTTGGTTTATTTCAAATGAATATCTTGAATGTTTCCCAGTTTTATGGAAATTTCCTTATTTTTATTCATCAGTTTATTATTGGCTGAATTCATTTCATTTGATTGATTTTCACTGTAATTTTGCTTTGTTCAGTGGATTCGTTGTTTTGCGTTCAATTGTCAAATTCATCCATTTTCATCAGTTATTTGCAATAACAACTATTCATTAATCTCTTCTCCATTCTGAATGTTTCCACAGTGAACCGAAGCAAAGAAACAAGCCAATGGTGATTGATCTATTACAAAACGATGTTCTTAAATCTTTGAGATAAAAATGATTTGATTTTGAATTCGATTAAATCGAGGAATACGTCTCTAGACATATCTATTTATATAATATATCCATCCGCTCGCCATTGATATCTCAATTTGATATGTGATAATAACATTGACCTATTAATGCTGACTGTGCTCGTATGGAGATAGACGGCTGATGAGTTACTTCGCGTTTTCAAGTTACTTGAATCACTTCGACCAGCATTTAATGCTTTTGTTTGTAATCAATTTATTCCGTTTGTAAAATTTTTAGTGAAATCCGAATGAATAATAATTACTTGTAAGCGACATGAACTTAGAGTGAAAAAGGCAAATGTTCCATTCGAAAATATAAAAAATGAAAATCACCTCGAGCGGTATGGATGGATACAGAGGTCTTAATTAATTGAGATATCAGGTTTATATAAACGCATACGAATAAACGGATGAATGTATGTGTAGAAAAGGAATTAAGCTTAATGAAGAGATAATATTATAATAAACAATTAAAAGTGAACTTTTGTGTTGTGTGTCGTTTGATTTGATCCGAGCAGATGTGGCCGCGAGACTGGAGCCCACATAAAGTTGTCTTTGGTAGATTATTGAATCATCATCACCTGATCGTATCGCTTTTTCATGATATGGTGCAGCATTTGCTTTGAATTCGTTTCTGATAGATTTATTATGATAGCATTAGATGCAAATGGAGATATAGTTTTTGAGTTCTGAGGGCGATTTCACGATTAATTGCGATCAGTTTCTGTTTTTACGCACCAAGCAAGCAGTATGTTGAACGCAGCTGATCGTGATTGCGATCGTTGTTGAGCACTGCACTCAAGGCTGTGTGCATTTTTCGAGGCATTTGCCTGAGTCTAGATTCCCTCAGCTGACTCTGAATTTAATCCGAAGCCGTTCCTCTAAACCTGTGCATCTTTGTAACATTACATAACGCATAGCCTTACGAATTGATCACTTATCTCACAAATTCCTTGAGTGGGTTCAGTTGATAATTTAGAATAATTCATTTCATCTTCTATTGTATGTTTTGTCGTATTCCCTATAGTTTCTTGAAGTTGCGCTCTGAAAGAATATTTCCTCGAAAGAAACACAATCTGAATGTGTGTGTGTGTGTGTGTGCGATTGGATTGATTCATTGAGTGT